GTCCTGTGCTTCCGGTAGTATATGCATCTACTACCTTTCATACCTACTCATACTCGTCCCAAGTATTGTCTCGCAGTCCCCAAGTCACCATACAAGAAAATCACATAACAGTTTAACACACCAGATAACAAAACGAAGGCTTTATTATTTCTTGAAACTATTACATAGGTGTTCGAGTTCACCCTATACTATGCCTCTAACAGGTTACATTATACGATACTATCCCTTGGTTACTTCATAACTCGATCTTTGGATATTAAGCCTTCACTCCTGAATCCTTGCATTGTTATCTGCTTCGTCAAGGATCATATGAAATGCTCTCGCCTTTGGCTTTGGCGGCACATTTGGCTTTGTAGCCCCTTCTCTCTTTGGGCAGTCTTGCTTGAAGTGACCTTACTCGTTACATGCGTAACATACCCTTTTGTTGAATGTACACTCGTTGGCGTAATGCCCATGCTTTCCACACTTGAAAAAAGTCACCTTTTCACTGCATGTTCCAGAGTGTTTCTTTTTGCACTTCTCGCACCATCTTTCTTCACTTCCTCTTCCTCCTCCAGACTTCAGGAATTTGGTCTCCTTGTTGGACCTTGAAGATCCTTCAAACTTCCTCTTCTCGCCAACTTCAGCTTTCTCCAGACCATTTTCCCTAATCTGAGTCTCAACATTCCTGGCTGCCCAGATGGTGGCTTTCAAAGTGGTTGCTTGCTTGACCATTGGACCAAAGTCCGCTGGTAATCCATGGGAAAACTTGTTGACCTTCGAGAGCTCAGTTGGAACTAAGTAAGGAACAAGCTTCATCTTCTCCGTAAAACTTGCAGCATACTCAGTGACACTCATCCTTCCCTTCTTCAGATTTTGAAACTCATTGTTGATCTCTAGGAGATCCTACTCAGAGCAGTACTGCATTTTCAGTTGCACCACGAAATCTTCCCAAGGCATCTTGCTTGCTTCTCCCTTGGGCATCGTGTTAGCTAGTAGCTTCCACCAGCTCAGTACTCCAGACTTTAACAGAGGGATCGCGAGAGCGGTCTTCTTTTTGTTGCTACACTCGCAACTCTCAAACATTGTCTCCATCTCGGAGATCCAGTCCATAACTTCCACCGGTGTTGGGCTTCCAGAAAGACTTGGGGGTTTTGATGCCATGAAATCCTTGTACTTGCATCTACGTCCGTCATTTCCTCCATCCTGATTGTTTCGTCTAACTATCGGTGGGTCGGCTCGACCAACCGTCCCACTGTAGTTCCCTCCTTCTGACTGCCCATCACTGAGCTCGAGCTGTTCAATAGGCACCGTAAGTTCCTCTCGATTTTGTTGAAGTAAACGCCTTGTTTCCTCCATCTGACGATCCAACATCATTTGGATCATCGCTTGTACTCCGGCCATGGTTATTGGCTCAGCAGCGGCTACCACAACCGGTATTTGCTCAATCACTGGGGGTTGGTTTCTGTTCCCATTAGCATTCTCGGCTCCACTACGGGTTCTTGCCATTTTGATCTATACACCGAATAAGGTGAATCTAGATCTTTATTTAGGATAGTCGTTTAAATCGTCCTTATCACTTCGAAACGTTTACATGTTAGTTCTAATATCGTAGTCGTACGTTTAGAATCCTAAACACATAAGGTTTCCAGATCCGGTCGGCAACAGACCATAGATCCGAACAAATAACAACATCTGAGGCATAAATCATTTAGCACATAAGGCATATTAGGCATACTTTCCTAAATAAGCTAGTGCTCACATCTCACAATCATCGCTTAGCATTCAAAGTTTAAGTCTAGAAATAAATCCATATTCCTAGTTCGCTTAAACTAATGCTTTGATACCAACTGTGACATCCCCATTTTCACGGACAGAAAAGACCGATTTTGTTTATGCTTTATAAAAATCAGAGTACTTCTTTTAATAAAAATCTTGCGGAATTTGTTCCCAGAAAAACATGATAAATACGTTATCAAAGAATTTCCGAGGAAATGTATTTTTATTCATTTTAAAACATTTGGGATGTCATCGTTAATACAGAAACATAAGCATAAACAAAACTTACATTCATTTACACTAGTGATCTACATCTCTTTTAAATCTCTCAGTGTAATGTAACTTCATATCGACACCTGTGATACAAATAAACTGAGTGGGTAAGGTTGGGAAACCTGGTGAGTACATAGGGTTTTCAACCCACAATAATATAATTATTATGTTTAAACATCAAATAATCAACCCAATTACCCATCCCCATTATCTTCTTTACTCTTAAGGATCTACCCTAAGAATCAATTATTCCTCGTTCATTCATTCCTAAGGATCATCCTAAGGAATCGGCACGAAGTCCATCGTTGTCAATGACACAGCTGTCAAGCACAGCTGCTAGTTCTATCACTTAGGCGCAGCTGCCAGAATTGTGACATTCTATGTGAGGCGCAGCTACCAGTATTGTCCTTCGAGCACAGCTGTCTAGGGTTATCTCGTTTATTGACAGTATTGTTTTCGAGAGTCCACTCACAATACATGTTAATGGGTTTTTAGAGTACACCGGTGAACACATCGTTCACAACACCTACAGGTTGCGAGCCTGCCAGTGTTCCACTGGACTGTCTAGAATAGTCCGTGGTTGTCATCCATACTCTGCTAGATGACGGGGCCATCATTTGGGAAAGGCTTCTCACATCGTCCACCTCGCACACTTACCTCGTGGTCTATAACACCTCTCAACTCATCATCCAACTCATATTCCATCTATTGCATCTACCCATGTTTTACCCAACATATTCTCGTAGATATATATATATATATATATATATATATATATATATATATATATATATATATATATATATATATATATACAGTTTAAATCATTTAAAACATGTATAAAATCGTTCATCCAGCATAGATAGCAAGTATACAGATAACATGCACACATAGCACGTAATTTATTTAAAATACTTCATATCTATGTGTAAGATGAAAGTAACTATGCACTCACTTGAAAAGGTGGTGAATCCGAACTCAGACAGCGCTTCGCTTCTTAAAAATAATTTCCTTCGACGAAACCTAGTATTATTACCACTAGAGTTTAGTCTATTATTCGCCGAGACTAATTAATAGTCTAGCTATTATTACTATTATATAAGCGTTAAACAATACTTATATAACTCATAATAATAGCCCAAGTACTTATTATAAGTTCCTAATAACGCTACTATAATTAAATAAACGATATATTAAAAATAGCGTAAGTGTAGCTCACTTACAGCGGGTTTTATAGAAAACCGGGCTTTGCTTGAATCAGCGTTCCCGAGCTGAAAAGCTCTTCTTCTCGGAGCCGTCGAGCACTCCAGGGCTTCCGGCTCGTGCTAAGGAGGTTCCCTAGGCTTTTCGGGGGGTTTCGGGGCTAGAGAGAGGTTCTAGAGAGAGAGTAAAGAGAAGAAAGAAGGGGAAAGTTGTGAAGAAAATGAGGGTGGGAGAGGTTCTATTTATAGGGTGAAAAATGGCTGAACTTGGTGCCACATGTCACCATCTAGTGGCAAGACTTGGGGAGAAAGCAATGGCCAAGATTGTGCCACATCACTCATTTTCGCACAACACACTTCCGACTTCTAAAATCCGTAACTTTCACATACGACCTCCGTTTTTGACGTTCTTTATATCCACGCGTAGGTAAAAATAAGATCTACAACTTTCATTTTGACTCCGTCGGCTAATTCTCGACCGATCTTAAATTTAACAGTACGAGGAGATTATACTGTTAAATGTCTGCGTAAAATTCATAACTTCTACATACGGACTCCGTTTTCGTCTGTCTTTTTACCGTTGACTTCCTATTAATGAGATCTTCAATTCTCCTTTAGGTCGCGTAGGCCAAAAACCGCTCGATCTAAAATTCGAGTTTTGGGTCGTGCATTGCTATGCCAAATCTTAGAAAATTCATAACTTCCTCATACGAAGTCAGATTTGGGCGTACTTTTTTTGTATGTTCTCGGTTTAACGTTTTCTACGACTTTCATTTAGATTGCTAAGGCTAAAAGTCGCTCTATTATAAATTCACTATTTACGTCTCCCGGTGCCGTGCCGGTTCTGCCGTAAAACTTCGACGAGTCATAACTTCTTCGTTATAACTCGGATTTCGGCGTTCTTTATATGTACGGAAACCTTGAGACGTATTCACAAATTTGTTAAGATTATTTATTCTAAATAATCTTTTGTCGAAAAGTCGTTTTCGACCCCTATTATCTCTAAATTGACTAGCCCGGATCTACGGGCGTTACATATATATATATATATATATAATATATATATATATATATATTATATATATATATATATATATATATATATATCGATGATGATGTGGAATGGTGATTATTTTCAAGAATTAGGCTTGGGGGAGTGATAGCCATGGAATGAAGGCATTATCTTAACTTCTTGTTGGAATGGAATGAAGTGATTGTGACTAGAATGGAATCACAAAGTTGTAATTTTGACTGGAATGGAATCACAAAGAAGTAATTTTGACTGGAATTAGAAAGAAGTAATTTTGACTGGAATCACAATGTAGTAATTTTGACTGGAATGGAATCACTGAGACAACAATGCATACAAATAACAAGAAAGTAATTGAATGGAATGAATACAATGCATACATATAACAAGAAAGTAATTGAATATTGTGGTTGGATTCATTGAAATACTCCATTAATATTCGAAATTAAATAAAGGGCAAGTAGTTGTCTGCATACACAAAAGATAGGACAAAAGATTCCTACTATGGACCACAAAAGAAGGGCCACCATCTGCCCACAAACCCAAAAGAAAAGCATAAAGAAAACATAATACTTTGTCTTTACATCACAACTTGATAACAAAAGATGTGCCCACCCACTACCTACACACTAACTTAATCAAGGACTGCAGGGTTTTCTACAGTACTCCCAACCCCATGTATGTTCCTCCTTAATGCCATTTTGACAATCCTTTCAGAATATTGCCTCCGTCCACTTCTAACAATTGGGGCCCTTTGGTGGTAGTGGTGGTGGAGGTGGTTGGGCTGCTGCTGCTGGTGGTGGTTGAGGTGGTTGGGCTGCTGCTGCTGGTGGTGGGGGTGGTGGTGGTTGGGCTGTTGCTGGTTGACTTGGTCCTGCTCCACTACCCCTGGAGGAACTTGGTGCTGCAAAAAATTGAAGTCTCAATTACTTATCAAAATGATGTATTATGTTCAGATGAAAAAAATTTACCTGATGTATTTGTTTGCTGCTTAGATGGACACTTTTTCTTGTTATGGCTTGGTTCCTTGCAAATACTACACCTTATCAGGGCTCCCCTTCTTGTCACAGAATGTCTAACTGGGCCACTCAACTCTCTTTCCACTGCATCCCTCTTCCTTTTCACTGATGGCCTACCAGGTAATCTTCTTCTTTTGGGAGGCAAAGGCTTTTGATAAGGAACTTCTGGTCACATATCACTACCATTGAGAGGGTTAATGCTATAATTGTAGCATTTTAGATATGTCGCTTTATTGTATGATTGGGACACATATGTTTCTGCATCTTGATTCAGGGAACAGATTGCAGCTACTCCATGTAAGCATGGTATCCCTGTAAGTTGCCATATTCTACATGCACAAGTCTTTGCAATTAGATCCACTCCATATGTTGCGTCATTGAACCTAACTTCATACTTTTGATAACCACAAGGAGTAACCCCCCACAATCTGTATAAGGCAATAATGACTACAAATTAATAACTAATAACACAAACTAATAAAAACCATATGTTGAATTGTAAAACTACATGTTACCTCTGTTTAACCTTCAAATCTTGTATAAGCTTCCTAATACTTGGACAGATAGTCAAATCCCATTCACTTTCTTCTACCATTTGACTGTATATCCTCTCCATCACAAATATCCTAATCTCCTCTAGCATAGTGATGATTGGTTTCCTTCTAGCATGCCTAATAGCAGAATTGAAACTCTCACTCACCCCATTCTCAACTGCATCACATTCTCTTCCCTCTTGAAAAAATGCCTTAGACCAGGTAGTAGGATCTCTGTCTATAAGGTAGTCATATGCTTGAGTATCTACAGATTTGATCTTTTCCATTACATGTTTGAACTTCTGTTCAGTACTAGCTTTGACAGCCCTCCAAAAAAGCTTCCTGAAATGTTGACCAATAAACCTTTTAGCAAAATTAGCCACAATGTGCCTGGCACATTGTCTGTGTTCAGCTTCTGGACACCTTTCTTTTACTGCTTCTAGCAACCCCTACAAATAACAACAACAAAATTAGTAGAACATGCATAAAAACAGATGTATAAATATGAACCGATGCTCACCTTGTGTCCATCATAAAGAAGGGTAATGACTGTACCAAGACCACCATCAATGTCATCCATGGGGAGATCTATGAACCACTTCCATGTGGCCCTGTTCTCAACTCCAACTACAACCCATGCTATAGGGTAGATGTGGTTGTTTGCATCCCTCCCTACAGCTGCCAAAACTTCTCCCCTAACAATACCCTTTAAAAAGCAACCATCAAGGCCAATCACATTCCTGCACCCTTCCTTCCAACCATCACTTACAGCTTAGCAAACATAGTACTTAGAAAACAAAGTTGTGGAATCTAGCATGATGTCTACATCCATCCTCACAGTAGACTCAGGGTTTTTCCTCAGAATTTCATTACCATATGACCATAATCTCCCATAATGTTCAATTAGACTTCCTTCAATTTCTTGTAATGCAAATTTCTTTGCATTATCGCATTGCCCCACACTCAAATTTATATTGAATGTTGTTGAAACTTTAGCTTTCATCTTCCTAACACTCATTTTTGGCTTCTCTATAATTTCACTCAAATTGTTTGCCTAACCACTTATAAGTTACTATGGACCCAAACTTAAACACCCTGCTACAGTTATGTTCACTAACTAGAGATTTTATCTGAAAAGTCTTCTCTTTAGTCATCCAAGAGTCCCAAAGTCTAAATGAACATGTATGTGACTTGTTTTTTTTTGCAACACTTAACTAACAACCTTTGAGAGTCATTTTTTTCAAACCAAAGATCATATCCATTAGCAACTGCATAGTTGCTCAACATGTTTTTAAGCTCATCAGGGTTAGAAAATCGCATACCTAACAGTGGTTTCATCTGATTCCATGGTTGTCTATCATCATGCACAGGGTATTGAGGTTCAACATATTCAGCATCTTCATATAGATCATCTACATTTACTATATGTAGACAAAGTTTGTTTAAGAACCTGTCACCCATGGTTTTGTTGGCTGGGAATGGATATTCTACATCATCTTCTTCATGGTCAACAAAATAAGTGTCCGACAAGACCGAGTCTTCATCCTCTTCACAGCGGTAGTCTTGATCTTCATTTTCCTCTTCCTCAATCCATTCAAAGATTGGTTCATTATAGTGGTCCACATACACATTCATTCTCCTCTTATTTGCATAAGCGAAATCCAAAAATTCTTTGTAATCACCGTCATTCACCAGTGTATGAATTCTCTGACTTAAAGACTCTTGTGGAAGGCCGAAGTAGATGTCTTTGCTTCTACTTCTGGCATGAACTCCTCGTACTCAAATTCACCGAAGTCAACATCTCGCACTGATTGTCTGTCGGGATCAAAGTATACTAACGGGTTGGATGCAAACGTTCCATTGTAGTGGAAATCCACTACAATGAAGTTTCGACCGTTGGGACATTGTGATGAAGCCATTATAGAGATCGATTGAAGATTGAAGGAGACAAAATCAGGGGTTAATGAGAGTTCGTGCCCTAATCAAATTTAAGGACCAAATGAGACTTCACTCTTAACTTTAATGAGGAGGGGAGGCAAAATCGGGGCCTACATGCCACCTCATTGGCCACCTAGGATAAAAAAAAGCCACATCAGACCGATTCAACCGTTGAAACCGGCTAATATTGGTCATAGGGGGGAAATTTACACAAATCAACAAGTTAAATGACTATTAGAGTATGAAAAAAAGTTTAGTGACCAAATGTGACCAAAAGCAATAGTATGTTACCCTCTCAAGTCATTATCTTCAAGTCCTTTATTTCCCACGCATGGAAAACCTAATTAAAAGCATTTCAAAAAAAAAAATGAGTGAATGTCCATAAAATTGCCACCAAATAACCAAAATGACATTTTTTTACAAATCTCTACATTGTTGAGCCATCACATTATTCATCTTGTTCTTTCATACATGAAAACTTAGGCTAAAAGCTTACAACTCATCACGCTCAATCACACCACCACCACCATGTCTATCCAAGTAAGAAATCGCCACCGCAGCATGAAAAGCTGCTCCAATCGGGAGCGCCTCTTCATCAATAACAAAATACGGCGAGTGTAAATGCTCCGGCGGTGTTTGCGTCTTGTTATTGCTTCCTATCACGAACATAACCGCCGGCATTTTCTGTGTAAAAAAACTGAAATCTTCACCACCCATCGTCACCGGAAGCACCTGCATATTGGGTTTTCCGAGTATGATTTCTGCCACCGTCTTTGCATGTTCGTATAATCCTTCGTCGTTTTCCGTCACCGGGTACGGCAGCGGCGTTTCATCCATGAAATCCAGTTCTGCTTCGCACCGGTGAACGCCGGCCTGCGTCTCTATCACCTGAAATCAAAAATTGAATACAAACAGACACAATGCAATTATCAATTGGGCTTCCTTCAAGGTTAATGATCTCGATTACTAGATGATTTTAGGTGTTTACCTGTTTAATCCTTTCTTTGGTGTCTATAAGACCTTGAGAAGACAAGCTTCGATATGTTCCCCCAATTTTTACACTCTCTGGAATCACATTGTCTGCTTTCCCTCCGATAATGTATCCGATCGTCACAACCTGAAATCAACCACCGGAAAAGAATCGGAACCCTAAAATCACATGAATTGATCACTTGCAAAAAGTCAGAAGATTACTCTGGACTCAAGTGGATCTGTTTCGCGAGATACAATCTGTTGTAGAGCAACAACCGCCATTGATGCTGCAAGAATCGGATCTTTCGATAACTGTGGGGTTGCAGCATGTCCACCGGTACCTTTAATGGTTGCTGTAAACCTTCCGGCGCCGGCTAACACCGGACCTGGCCGTGAAGCTACGACACCCACCGGATACGACGGATAAACGTGGAGGGCAAAGGCGGCTTTGATGTTGTCCAGTGCACTGTGTTTTAGCATATGATAAGCTCCGGCGAAACCCTCTTCGCCGGGCTGGAAAACCAGTTTCACGGTGCCCTTTTAAGAGTAAACAAGAGAGGTATTAGTTCCATGCTTTATAGGTTGTACATCGTGCATTCGATATAGTACTTCTTTTACCTTGAGTTTGTGTCTCCTCGCTTGGAGCAATTTAGCAGCTCCAAGTAGCATTGCTACATGAGAATCGTGGCCACAGGCGTGCATTTTTCCGGCGATCTTGCTCCGGTGATCCCAATCGACTAGTTCCTGATATTTTCCGATAGAGGAGATGAAACTATGTTTAAAACGAGAGAAATTAAACATGAAACCTCAAAATATTCAGAGAAAAGAGAACCTGGATTGGTAGAGCGTCCATATCCGCTCGGAGAGCAAAGAATGGCTGTTCGCCGGAACCAATGGTGGCAACAACACCGGTCTCCGCCACCGGCCATGTGTACTCGACGCCAAGCTTGTCGAGCTCTGCTCTTATCACTTCACTCGTCTTGTATTCTTGAAACCCTAGCTCCGGATACTCATGGATTTTCCGGCGAATGTTTCTAACCCAGTTAAAAAACTCCGGCGACTTCGCATCCTCCAAAAGCCGCTGACCAAGAGGACCAATTACCTCCGGTTTCAAATGGGTCGCAGAAGTCCGGAATGATGAGTGTAAGAGAACAACGGCGAAGACCAGAAAGAGGAATCGCCGACGAGATGATCTCATCGTTGACCAAATGGCGTCGATTGCAGTACTGGAGTCACGGAGTTTTTTATATTCAAATGGCCGGCGTCATAGAGACACAAACAAAGGAGTTTAAATCAAAGATAAAAAGAATTTCATTTTGACACCCTAAAATGGTACATTTATTACCCGAAATAACAATGATCGAATCTTCATCAAGAAAATCACTCTGATACCAAGTATGTAATCTTACCTGATACAATGTCTTAATTCAATGATTTGCATATTTCGGCATAAATGTATTTCCATTGCTCTAACACTAAAATGGAGTTTGTATTCCAACCAAACATTAAAATTGTGTTTTTTAGAGGTCATGTAAATTGGCCTTCTTCCTAAACACTAAAATAGTGTTTTTTAAAGGTTGATTGGAATGAGAACACCATTTTATTGGCCTTTATAATAGTTTTTTAGTAGTTGGTTGGAGTTGGTCTTAACAATATTTATTTTCATGATAGTTTGTGAGAAAGCGGTTTTAATTTTTTTTTACAAACACTGCAAATATATAGTTAAAAATAGTGAGTTCATAAGGTCTTTCAAATTACATCAAACTTTGTGAGATTTTTGTAACCGTTGAAGTCTGTTTCACAATACACATTTTGCCGACTTGCTTTATGTAACCTCCGTTGTTTGAGTTTGAAGTTGTAGAGACCGAATTTTGTAAGATTTTGCCATAAATACCATTTAGCTGGTTTTCCATCCTATAACAAGTTACCATGTCACATGGTTGTCATTTAGTTGGTTTTCCACCCTCTCACCCCTTCAACTCGTTTACATTTCTCCATCCGCCGCGGACCACTGTCATCGGCTTACCAAGGGGAGATGCAAGTTGATTTGAGGCCCAGGGCAAAAACAAAAAATGAGGCCCTTCATAGTAATCGCAAACGACAATGCAACAATGTTATAAAGACGAGTATAGGGATCTGTTGTGATATGGGCCTTGGACTTAACAACGTCATTTGTTGATTCTGGTTGGGTTGAGCTCTATAATCACATCAATGGAGAGATAACATGAGTCGACGTTCGGGAGGTGGTCCCGGGACAAAGCTTCACCTGTCTAGTTAGTGTACGTTTGAGGATAAAGTAATTAGGGTTTTTTTATGGAGAGAAGGCGATCCCTTCTTCTTGGAAAAGAAGGGTCCTTTTATACATGTTGTTCCCAATGCAGGATCCCAACGGTGTCCTTTGTCCCATCTGGGCCGACAGGACGTGGAGGTGTCTCTTTGGTGGATCGTGCACCACTAGTGGTCATCTGCTATTGGTGCAGAGTAAACAGAGGACAACGTCTTGGGTGCCATACGTGTCGCTCTGGGAGACGACCATCTGTGTTTTTTTCCTATTATATTGTTAGGTCATAAATTGTGGTTTATACTTTGCTTTTCATAAGATATTAGAGTTCTCGGTCCAGGACCGAAAACACCATGTTTTTGGTGTTGTTTGGACCAAAATCACATGTGATTTTGGTTAGACTTTATATTGTTTTGTTTGGGTTTTGGGCTTGGGCTTGGTTATTAGGTCTAGGTATAAATAGTGTTATTTTAACCTATATAGAGGTGATGGACGTTCTTGGGGGCTGCCATATGCAGAGAACACGTTTTGGAGAAAACCAGAGAGAAAACGAATTGTAATCAAGAATTTTATGTACCCGATTATTCAATAATAGTGTGCATTGAAGATTAACATTTTGTGTTCTTATTCTATATTTCATCTTGATTCATTCACTTGATTGGGATTCCGCACCATCAAGTGAATCTGATTGATACATCAAAGCGTTTTTGGGGACTTACAAGTGGTATCAGAGCTTGGATTGGTATCAATCGGGTCATTGCAAATGGTTTTTCCTTGGAGTTTCTAGGTGTTTTTGATTTATATTTTATGAATTTTTGGCCATTGTTCTTCATGTTCTTCATATTTTTGTAGTTTTGATCGAGTTTGTCATTAAAAATTTGAAAATCCCGTGTTTTTGGCAAGTTTTGGGCATTTTAGGTCAAGATTTGTGAGATCTAGGCGGCAACCCTCGCATCCGGTCAAACCCTAGGCAGCCAGCAGTGTTCTCGAAGCCAGCAGTATTTGCGGTCGGATTCGCGAGATCTCGTTCCGAAGTCCTCGGCCTCGCTGGTTTACGGTCCGCTGTTTCCAGTCTACACGGTTCACGATGCGAAGCGAGGTTCACGATGCGAAGAACTCGGAACAAAGGATTACGGTCAACAGCTTCGTTCTCGGATCGCACGATTTCGGTCAAACTGTTCTCGGATTCGGATCTTCAGCCTTCGCATTCTCGGCTGGAATTTCTGATTTTTCTCATTTTTGACTTATTTTTTGCCCAAAAGCCATATTTTCGATCCAATAATTTTGTTTTCGGTCATAAAGCTTCGTTTTTAGTCAAAAAGTCACGTATTTCGTCAAATACTCTCGGTTTTGATCAAATACTCTTGTTTTTGGTCTTGAAATTTTCGTTTTGACCTAAAGTTTTGACTTTCGATTTTTGACTTTCAAGCTTGACTTTTGACTTTTGACCTTTTAAGTTTGACTTTCAAGTTTGATGTTTTAAGTTTGACTTTTTAAGTTTGACCTATTAAGTTTGACTTTCAAGTTTGACCTTAAGTTTGATTTTTCAAGTTTGGCTTTTTAAGTTTGACTTTCAAGTTTGATTTTTCAAGTTTGACTTTTTAAGTTTGACTTTCAAGTTTGACTTTCAAGCTTGACTTTCGAGGTTTCAAATCAAAGGGCATTTTTCTTGGCTTCATAATCAGATCTATTTTTGGTAAATTATTCTTTTTGGTGAATAATGAGTTCTTCAATCACCAAGGTTAATGAAGCTTCATGCTCTCAGTCCTGTGAAGCTAAAATTAAATCTTATCGTGATCAACATGAATTATTAATTAAGGAAATTGAGGACCTTAAATATGAACGATATACTATCAGAAAGGAACAAAAAAACCCTTAAAAAATCAATTAAAGGCCAAAATCAAAGACTTTAGAAAACTTCAAGCAGAATATAGCGATAAATGTGAAAATTATGATTATGCTCAACGAAAGATTGCCAATCTAACTGCCGAGCTTAATACATTAAAAAATAAGTTTGAAAATGCAGACTTCAATTTTAAAAAGTTTGACGTGTCAAGTAAAAAGGTTGAGACAATGATAGAAAAACAGTTAAAATTCAAAGATAATTAGAATAAGGGTCTAGTGTATCACAATGTTCCACCTCCCTTCAATGATAACTATACCCCGCCCCTTGAAACCAATGAGATAGAGACACCTGCACAATATGGCCAGGCCCCGGTAACAAATTCAGTTAACACTGAACAATCTGGCCTAACTGAGAATATTGAGGTGAATGATTCTAATGCTTCTACTTCATGTGCAGATAAAGAAGTAGTGCAAGATGAGCATGAGCAGAAAAAAAATGATTCTAGTTCTGCTGATAATGATTCAAAATCTTGTGATGCTGATACTCCCACTGTGGAAAAACCTAAGCCACAAAAGTCTGTTAAACAATCTGTTAAATGTTCTTGTGTATGTGCTTGTGGAAGTCTCTTGAAACAAAATTCTTTTGGACAAGGACCAAGTCACAATCTCATCTATATGAAAAGACAGACTTGTTTTAACTGTGGGAATCCCAGTCACATTGCCAGAAATTGCCCACATCGTGTATATTGTAACGCCCGTGTTTCTAAGCTAGGCATTAATGATGATGTAATAGTCTAGGTTAACCTTTGTAACTCGTTTTGAAATAATAAGAATGTATTATTTGAGTATTATGTGTTTTGTTCTTAATTGTGTGACTTAAACGAATTAAGAATGAAAATAAGCGTCAAAATGAAATGTTAGATAAGCCCTATATCTATGAAGGAAGTTGTAGTGGTCGTGACGAGGTTTCCGAATATATAAAGAATGCCGAAATCCGAGTTATAACGAAGAAGTTATGACCTGTCGAAGTTTCGCGACAGAACCGGCACGATGCTGAATGGCGTAAAATATGATTTTAAGATAGAGCGACATCTAGCCTTAATGATCTAAACGAAAGTCGTAGAATAAGTTAAACCGAAAGCATGCATAAAAAGAACGTCTAAATCTGACTTCGTATGAGGAAGTTATGATTTTTCGAAGTTTCAACTTAGCAGTATGCAGCCCGAAGTTCAATTTTGAGATCGAGTGATTTCTAGCCGAAACAATCTAAACGAGAATCGAAGATCTCGTCGATAGTAGTCCAACGGTGAAAAGACAGACGAAAACGGACGTCAGATGAAGGAGTTATGAATTTCTAACGGAGTTTTCGTGTCCCGGCCTACTAAAAATAATATAATAAAAATATAATAAAAATAAACTCAAAATTAGCCGATGGAGTCTAAACGAGAGTTGTAGATCATAATCTCACCTACGCGTGGATATAAAGAACGTCGAAAACGGAGCTCGTATGCGAAAGTTATGAATTTCTGAAGTTCGGGGCGCGAACCCCAAAGCTGTGTCAGGGTTCACGACGTGAACAGAGGGTTCACGACGTGAACTCAGTGATTTGACCTTTCAGAGCCTGCCAGACGCAACTTGTGATGACGAACGCAGTGACCTACTGTGCTCACAACGTGAGCACTTAAAACTCACGACGTGAGTATAGAATGTTGGCCCTATAAATAGAATTCAAGGGGCAGCCGAGTTTGGTTGCTCAATCTCTTCTCTCTCACTCCCGATACTCTCTCTAAGCCCTCTTTTAACCCCCCGAAGCCCCGGTATCATCCCGAGACCCGAAGCAAGTCCCGAAGCCCGAAGATCCCGAGAAGAAAAGAGTTTCCGAGCCGAAGCTCTGCTCGCGAGAAGTCCCGGTGTGTGAAGTTATCCCGAATCCACCGAAGAATACTTTATTTAGAGCCGTAGTGCTGTCCGATAATCATTTTATCAGGTGAGTGTGTAGTTACTTTCTTCTAACACATAAATACGAAGTATTCTCTATAAAATACATGCTATGTGTTTATATGTTATGTGTTATTTGAAATAAGTATTGATCGAATGTTTTATACATGTTTTATGTTGTATATATATATATATATATATATATATATATATATATATATATATATATATATAT